GGGCTATTTCACCTGAGAGGGGAGGGAGTTGGGGTATGTATACATCTCCTCTTGTCATTACCCACTGAGGGCTTTCTGTCTTAATCTGTTTTGTACTATTATAACAGAATGCCTGAGACTGTAACTTAATAAAGAAGAGGAACCATTTTTCTCACATTTCTGGAGAAGTTGAAAATCAAGGAACTGGCAGTTTTGCATCCAATATCTGTGCTTTCAAGATGGAATTTTGAGCACTGTGTCCTTCAAAGGGAAGGAAGGCCATGGCCTGGAATGAATGGCAGAAGAGCAAAAGAGAAAGAGAGAGAAAGAAAGAGAGAGAGAGAGCCCACTTCCACAAGTGAGACAGACCAGGGATCCCTTCTTAGGGGCAACTGAATCTTCCCCAAGCATGGAAGTAAAGGACAATTTTGGGTCCCTTTGAAGGAAATTCCAGGCACCTAGCTGGCCTTGAGAAATAAAAAAGTAACATGAGAAACAAGCGGGCAATCATAACCTTAAAAAAAATAGCCAAAGAAGATAAAATCATGGGATGTTTGCTTTCCCTATACAAACTAAAGAATATATCTTAGCATATGTCTCCGACTTGTTTTTCAGAAACATAGAACACCTCCAAATGGATCTACCAGCACATAGATCTCAAATAAGTGGGAATTGGGGACTGAACTCTGATCCTGGTTCTTTGTCCTAAGTTTCTACCTGAAGGGCCTTAAGAAAGCCACATCCGGGTTACCTTTTCCCAGTGCCAGAGGCACCTAGGGTTGGGGTCTTCGCTCAGGGACAGAGATCCGACACTGAGCAGCGGCTTCCCCGGAATCGAGGGAGGTGCAGGCCAGAGGAGACGAAAGGAACCCGGGTCAGACCAGATTGGAACCACTGACCATTGCCCATGGCGGCCCTAGCCCTAGGATAGCGGGTGAGCGAGATGCCTGCAGCCAAGCAGTTGCGGCTGGACACGGTGCCCCAGAGCCTGTCAGGGAAGTCGACCCCCTAGCCGCCATCCGGCAAGTCAACACCCAGCAGCCGCGACGTGCAGGTGACTGAGGATGCCGTGCACCGCTACCTGACAGGGAAGCCCATGACCACTAAGGACCTGCTGAAAAAGTTCCAGACCAAGAAGACAGGGCTGATCAGCCAGCAGACAGTGAACCTGCTGGCCCAGATCCTCAGGCGCCTCAACCCCGAGCGCAAGATGATCAGTGACAAAATGCCTTTCTCCCTCAAGGAGTGAGGCTCTGTCCAACACGCGGCTCTGCCCTCCAGAACTCAGGCTCTCACTGCCCCTTCGTCATCCTGGAGTGAGGCTCTGTCCAGTACACGGGCTCTGTTCTCCAGAACTTCAGGCTCTCACTGCCCCTTCACCATCATGCTCCCTGACTCCCAGGGCCCCATAGTTAGCAATTCTGGAAAAGTTTAAGCCATCTCCTCCTCGGGTCCTTCCTTCTGGACTCTTCAGATGCCTGCTAGGCCTCCTTCTTATTGTCCTCTTTCTCCCAGCTCAGTCTCCCTCACACTGACCAAGGGCCTGTGCTGCTCACTGGGTAACTTCTACAGTTCTCCCTTCTGCCTCCCTAGGTCTCTCTTCAGCAGTGACTTATCCACCACATAGTCCATTAAGTCTTCAGTTTTGGCTGGGCATGATGATGAGTGCCTGCAGTCCCAGCTACTTGGGAGGCTTAGCCCAGTTCAAGGCTGCAGTGACCTACGATGGTGCCCCTGCACTCCAGCCTGGGTGACAGAATGAGATCCTGGCGCACACACACAAAAAGTATCCAGGCATGGTGGCAGGCGCCTGTGGTCCCAGCTATTCCGTAGGCTGAGGCACCAGAATCACCTGAACCTGGGAGGTGGAGGTTGCTGTGAGCCGAGACCACACCAGTGCACTCCAGCCTAGGCAACAGAGGGGAACTCAGTCAAAAAAAAAAAAAAAAAAAAAAAAAAAAAGCCATCCATGGGCCAGAGCGAATATTCTTTCAAGCTGACTCCAAATTTTTAAACAAAACTTCTTTTCTAAATCAACTGCACATCAGAAAATGTTTGGATCTATTGATGTCTTGTAAGATATCCCACTGCTTCATGATATCCTACCCTCTTAGGCCAAAAACAACCTGTAACCTCCATGTAATGATTTCTAACTTTGCCTGTAACTTCTGATTTCCTGAAGTTTATTTCTCATTTTAAAAAACCCTTATCTGTAAGCCATCAGGCAGGTCAGGATTGAGGCGTTAGCTGCCGGTCCTCTTTGCTTGATGCCCGCAAATAAATGCCTTCCTTTTTCCTGCTGCAAACTCCGTGTGGATAATTGGTTATACTACACTGAGTGATCTAAATCCAGTTTATTTCCATAACATAAGCACTGCTTATAGTGGCATATATCTATTCATAAGGGCAGAGCCCTCATGATTAAACACTTCCCATTAGATCCTGTCTCTCAATTCTGTTGCCTTTGGGATTAAGGTAACAGCAGGTAGATTCAAGGGGACACAGTGAAACCGTAGCACTGACCGAGGGAAGGCTCATTCTAAGCCCTGTGGTCTGCCATGCATGCAGGCAGAGCTGCTTTTCTCAGAGACAGCAGTGAGGGACAGAGATGGGAATGGGGAACCAGCAGAAGCACAGTGAAAGCAAAAGGCCTGAATGCAGACATGGACTGATGCATCCATCCAGAAAAAAGCACCTGTATTTTCCACCTGGAGCTGCATCCCTCTGGAATGGTGTTTCCTGGCACGTCAGTTGCAAGAGAAGGAATCTGGGAGACAACATCTCAAGATATGCTGCATTTGTGTGGTGCCTATTTCAAACTGAAAGCATTTAGAAAACATCAATTGGACAAAGACTATTTTCCTACATCAGTTACTCTAGAAAGAAGCCAATTGTCATGAAAACCGTCCCTGGGGATGTTGATCTATCAGGGAATATTAACATGCACTAGGAGTTAAATTCAAAAGATATTGGAAGTTGACTTCATCCAGTCAATTATCTATTCTTTTAAGGACCCATTTATTTTATGTTACGCCACTTACTCTCCCTAGGTTGCCTACAGTCCCCACCTCCCTCTCCCCTATAAAGGATGTATAAACACCTGGACCTCACTGGGTTATCTGGGTATCTCTCTCCTGTGATTTTTTCCTCTGCATGTTAAATAAATTTGTTTGCCTTTTTCTCCTATTATTTGTCTTCTGTCCATTCATTTTAAGCAAACCCTTAAAGGGCGAAATCAAACTTTCACATTTTACCCTACACAAGCAAGTTTCCTTAAAATTCAGGCCCCTAAATGGGCAGCAGGAGGGTGTGTGCAGATACTACACCAGAGTCATTTGGCCACTTCTACTCATGAATCAGTAATACTCCCCAGAATCCCAGGTTGCAGCTCACTGATGCTGATGTAGGTGGATCCACTTCCTCTGCTGCTGAACCAGGCTGAGATGATGTGAGATATAATGGGTCCAAAATCTGTGTCCAGTTTTATCCAAATCCAAGTGATTTCTCCATATACATGGGCATTTGCTTGATAGGAGATGGAGACTCTCTGTCCTGGATGTCAGACAGGAGGCTGGCATCTTGGTCAGAATGTCCCCACTTACTGCTAAACAGTGAAAGAGGAAAGTGCCTTTGATAGTGCAAGGCAGGGACATGCACTGAGCAGCTGCTGCCCTCACTAGGAGAGAGGGTTCACTGTACAAAATTCAGGCTCCAGAGGAGCTGCTCTGGAACCCCCAGGAACATGCTGGTGAGCAGTGTCACTCAGACTGTTACTTAGTAGATATAATATTGGTCATCTTACTTTAGAGACAATTGATCCTTAGATAATTTCAAGTTTATCTATATCCTTGCTCATATAATTAGAGGAAGAAACAAGTAACTTTTTTTCTTTTCTTTTTTTTTTTTTTTTTTTTTTTGAGACGGAGTCTTGCTCTGTCACCCAGGTTGGAGTGCAGTGGCACAATCTCGGCTCACTGCAAGCTCCTCCTCCCAGGTTCACACCGTTCTCCTGCCTCAGCCTCCCGAGTAGCTAGGACTTCAGACGCCCACCACCACGCCCGGCTAAGTTTTTTGTATTTTTAGTAGAGATGCGGTTTCACTGTGTCTCCTCACCACAAGGTAAGGATGGTCTCAATCTCCTGACCTTGTGATCCGCCCGCCTCAGCCTCCCAAAGTGCTGGGATTACAGGCATGAGCCACTGTGCCCGGCTGTAACTTTATTTTTTGAAGTAATCAGATCCAGCACCACTAGTCAGCCCTTTCTGCTAATAAACCCTGGGGAAAATACTCAATGACAGAAAAGGAGGCATAATATAGAGATCCCCAAAGCAAAAATAAGATGCAACTCATTTATTTTCTGGGCATTATTGAGGCCTATAGGTTTGCATAAATGTGGAACTGTAAGTGATACACACATTGAGGATTTATAGCACCATCTTTGTGCACCTGCGGTGAATTGTTTGACCTTATACTGATAACAAGAATAGCTTAAGGTTATTATAGAATACTTACAAATATATTTAGCATTATCTTGGTATTTTTCTTCTTTTTTTTTTAAGAAGAAACAATTACACACTCACAGAAATGTTGTAACTATACCACAAAGTATCCCCCTCTCTTTCAGAGTATTTTGAAGACCTGCTGATACCACACTCAAAACTTTACTTTGAGTTTCCTACAGAGAATAATTTTCTCCTAAATGATCCCCATACGCCAATGGAATACATTACTCCCTCAAGTACTCAGCAGTACTTCAAACTTTGACAATTATCAAAAAATATTCTTGATTACAAATTGACCCCCAGAAAGAAACAGATTAAAGGCAAATCTGTGTTGCCCTGGTCCAACCTGAGACCCTGGGGATACTGTCCCTGTGCTGAGTTACTGAGATGAGCAGCTGTGCCCAGCCTGCAGCTGTGCCCAGCCTGCCCCATCCCCTACTGATTTGCATGTTCCCAGAGCACAGCCCCCTCCCTGCCCTGAAGACTTTTTTATAGCCTGGTCACACCCTGTGCAGGAGTCAGTCTCAGACAGGACACAGCATGGACATGAGGGTCCCCGTGCAGCTCCTGGGGCTCCTGCTGCTCTGGCTCCGAGGTAAGGAAGGAGAACACTAGGAATTTACTCAGCCAGTGTGTTCAGTACTGGCTGGATTTTCGGGGAGGGCTTCATATAGCATGACTGATTGTGTGGATGTTTGTTTTTATGTTTCCAAACTCAGGTGCCAGATGTGACATCCAGATGACCCAGTCTCCATCCTCCCTGTCTGCATCTGTAGGAGACAGAGTCACCATCACTTGCCGGGCGAGTCAAGGCATTAACAAGGAGTTAAGCTGGTATCAGCAGAAACCAGGGAAAGCCCCTACACTCCTGATCTATGCTGCATCCAGTTTGCAGACGGGGGTCCCATCTCGGTTCAGCGGCAGTGGATCTGGGACAGATTTCACTCTCGCCATCAGCAGCCTGCAGCCTGAAGATGTTGCAACTTATTACTGTCTACAGGATTATACTACCCCATCCACAGTGTTACAAGCCATAATAAAAACCCCCAGGGAAGCAGATGTGTGAGTCTGCACTGCCCCAGCTACTCCTCCTGGTGCCTCCATCTGCTGAGAACATTTCCCAAATTGCATCCACACATTGAAGTTTCTGTAGAAAGTGCCACGAAGTCTCCTCTATACCTTAACTGCCTTTCCTTCTCCTCATCCCCAGCGGCACAGACGTGGCAAACCCTCTCCTGATTGCATTAAGAACAGGGATGATTACACCTACGAAGTCTGAGTTATGGTGTGAGTTGGAATTAATATCATAAAGGAGACACCACTCTTGGAATTCCAAGTAGAATTTTTTTTCTAAAAACAGGAATGACAGTCTAAACTACAGTCCTTAAAAGTATTGGGGGCATGGGAATAAAGACGCAAATGCCAAAAAGAGGGATTCTCTGGATCTTGCCATGAATCCAGAGTGTATCTACCACTTCAGAAGGTATAATTGCCAATCGTGTGGTCCTCAGACATATCTGGGAAGCCCGGGGCTGCTGGTGCTCTCTACCTGGAGAACGTGTCTGATTTTCTAAGGCACCTGCTTACAGTTGAGCAGCCAGGGTCCTATTCCAAACAGACCTAGCCAAAGAGAATGATCAGAGTAAAAGGCCAGTTCCTTCCAACGCCTACTTGGCCCCATTTTCCCTGAATCCTTCCTGTTAATCATAAAAACCCTTTCATGGCTCTGACCTGACTCATCGGGCTCTCAACTCTCTGGTTTCCTGGTTCTGCCCTAAACAAGCCTCACACTGCCCCGCCCTTGGAGCTCTACTCTCACTGCTCCCTCAGGGGTGATGCGTTTCCCCAGACCCTTGGGCTCCTTCTCTCGCTCCCAAAGCCAACCCTGAGCTTCCCATCTTAATGATCCCCATGTGTTCATAGGACTCCACCCTACTCCATGCTTTTGTCAGAAGCACCTTCTGACTTACGATATAATTTATTTCCTTATGATTTTACACTTGATAGGCTGACTCCCTCTAGTGGAATTTAAGCTTCATGGGATTATTTGTATTGCTGTATCCCAGTGTAATGGGAGTACCTGGCAAACGGTAGGTGCTCAGTGGGGGCCACTCTTCCCAGGAGTCTGCATATCTGGAAGTCTGGGAGGATTGTAAAGAGTGGATTAAACTGCTTGTTAAATGGACAATGTTCCCTTTTCCTTTTTTTATTCCTTTTTCATACCCAGTCTTTAGGAAATAAGGAAACTTACAGTTCTCAGAACTTATATAATTTGTCTCAAGTGATATTTTAGGTTGTATTTCCTGAAAACATATAATAATAATGTAACATTATTGTATTTAATTGATTATATTATGCTACATATGTAATGATGTATAATATGTACTACATAAGTTATAACAATAGTAAATTTATTGACTTTCCATTTAAAAGACAAAACTTATCAGATTATATCAGGAGTCAGACAACTGATATTTCAGTTTTGTTAGCAAAGAAAGAAAACTGAATACATTACTTAGCTACACAGATAAGAAAGAAAACAGATTTTCACAATTGTTATTAATAATTTTAATTGGAATGTGATTCAAAGAGCTTCTCAGCCTGTTCAGGGGAACCTCACTCACAACTACATGTTCACAATTCTGAGGAAAACAAGAAAACACCAGATAAGATTCTTGTTTCCATCAGTGGTGTGAAGAGAGGTTCTCAAAACTGTTAAAGGGAAAAGAGTCTGAGTCTGGGTGAATGGCTGTGTTGTACAGAATGGAGTGCTGTAGACAAGAGAAAATGCCACCCCCATTTTTCCTGGCCAGCAGGACAGCGTCACCATCACTCTGCAAGGAGTGGAATCACACTATAATGAGTTTGAGCCTGGAGTCTGCTTATCTTTGCAGCTGTGGTCCTTCATGAACCCACAGTGCTTGTCCTAAAGAAGTGCTGTCCTTTACTAGTCCTTCCAAAGAATGGAACATTTTCAGTGTTCATAGAAAAGATGTCTAAGCTGTGAAGGAAAAGCGTGTACGGAAGATGAATTTCTGATCAATGACTTCAGCCAGGTACAATCATGTAGCAAGGAAGATGAATGGGCATGTTGCGGGAAGAAAGAGAAAAAGAAACCACAGATTTTTATTTTTTCTTTCAAGAGATTTGTGCTAAACACCATCTGTCTTAGCCTAGGTGATTGGTGAGGTAGGAGGACGGGATTTAACTGTGTGTCCAGAGGGTAGAAGGTCTACCCCCATGCTGAGCCAATAACTTTTCTGACCTGACCACCTGGCCAGGGGCTTCTCGGTGCAAAGAAGAGGAGGCAGGTGGCCTCTGCAGCTGGAAGCTCATCATCTTCCCGTGCTTCTTTGCATGTTCCTCCCAGCCACGTTGCTGTCCAGAGCCCATATAAATGCCTGGGTCAGACCTCAGGGGAAGAGCTGCTCAGTTAGGACCCAGAAAGCCTCATGGAAGTCCCAGCTCAGCTTCTCTGCCTCCTGTGCTCTAGCTCCCAGGTGAGGGGAAAAGGAGATGGCTCTGCATTGAAACTCAACCTTCTTGGTTCCTCTGGCCTGACATCTCTGCTGAGCAAGAACAGTAATTATAATTCAATGTAGATCAGTGACTGTGGCTATACTGTGAGGATGGTACGCTTGATGCAGTTTATATGGGAAAGTTTAAAACTTTCCTGTTTTATTCCAATCTCAGGTACCTCCAGAGATGTTATGCTGATGCAGTCTCCTGACTCCTTGTCTTTGTCTTCAGGGTAAAGTGACACTCTCATCTGTGGGTGCAGTCAGAACATTGGAAGCCCCTTAGCCTTGTATCAGTGGAAACCTGGGGAGGCTCCCTGGCTTCTCATCTATGGTGCATCCAGCAGGGCCACTAGCATCCCAGAGGGGTTCAGTGGTCATGAGTCGGAGACAGACTTTACTGTCACCATCAGCTGCCTGGAGCGTGAAGATTTTTCACTTCTTTGTCTTTTTTGATCTTTGTTTGTTTAAAGTCTGTCTTGTCAGAAACGGAAACAACTGCTTTTTTCCGTTTCCCATTTCCTTGGTAAATTTTTCGCCATCTCTTTATTTTGAGTATATGTGTGTCGTTGCACGTGAGATGAGTCTCTTGAAAACAGGATACCAAAGAGTCTTCGTTCTTTTCCTAGCTTTTCACTCCATGTCTTTTTTTGGAGCATTTAGCCTATTTACATCTAAGGTTAGTGTGAGTATATGTGGATTTGATCCTGTCATCATGATGTTAGCTGGTTATTTCACAGACTTGTTTATGTGGTTGCTTTTTTGTGTCGCTTGTCGAGTACTTCTGTGTGTTTTTGTAGTGGCTGGTAATGGTCTCTCCTTTCCATACTTAGTACTTCCTTCAGGAGGTCTTGTAAGAGAGTTTTTGGGGTAACATATTCCCTCAGCATTTGCTTGCCTTACAATGACGTTATTTCTCCACACTTATGAAGCTTAGTTTGGCCAGATACAAAATGCTTTTTTTTTTCCTTTGAGAATGTTGAATATTGACGCACAATCTCTTCCAGTTTGTAGGATTTCTGCTGAGAGATCCACTGTTGGTCTGATGGGTTTTCTGTGTAGGTGAGCGGGCCTTTCTCTCCAGGTGCCTTTACATTTTTTCTTTCATTCCCACCTTGGAGAATCTGAAGATGTGTCTTGGGAATGATCTTCTTGTGGAATAGCTTACTGGGGTTCTCCGAATTTCCTGAATTTGAATTTTGGCCTCTCTAGATAGGTTGGGGAAGTTCTCATAGATGATATCCTGAAATACGTTTTCCAAGTTTGCTTCATTTGCCCCATCTGTTTCAGGTATACCAATCAGTCATAGAATGGTTCTCTTTACATAATCCAATATCTCTTGGGGGTTTCGTTAATTCCTTTTCATTATATTTTCTCTCCTCCTGCCTGCCCATCTTATCTCAGAAAGTCAGTGTTCAAGTGCTGAGATTCTTTTCCCCATTTGGTCTATTGTGCTGTTAATACTTGTGATTGCATTATGAAATTCCTATAGTGTGTTTTTCAGATCTATCATGCTGGTTATGTGCTTCCTCTATTGGCTATTTTGTCTGTTCCTGAAATGATTTTTTATTACTGTTAGCTTTCTTGAATTGGGTTACAAAATACTCCTGTAGCTCAATTAACTTTATTCCTATTCCTATTTCTGTCATTTCGGCAATCTCATGTCCGGCCCAATTCTGAACCCTTGGTGGAGAGGTGATGCAGTCATTTGGAGGAAAGAAACCATTCTGGCTTTTTGAGTTTTCAAGGAAGAACCAGTTGATTAATTTTTTTTTTGTGCCTAGAGATTTGTGTATCTTCTTTATGAAATCTGTTTTTACATGTATACTCATGAAATACCTTTTCATGCTATTTTTAAAAAGCTTCATATTTTTGACTTTTACATTTCAGGTTATGATTCATTAGGAATTAATATTTGTATCCATGTATAGGTAAAATATACAGGCTAAGATTTATTTTGATTTAATATGGATATCTAATTGATCCAATATATTTGAGTTATCATATTTTTTTCTACTAAATTACTGCTATGATCTGATTTTTTTGTGTCCCCTCCAAAGTTCCCATTCAAAGTGCGTTTTCAGGGCAACAGTATTAGAAGTTGGGCCTTTTGGGTGATTAGGTTGTGAGGGCTCTGCACTCAAGAATAAAATTAATGTCTAATAAAAGTGGTTTCACATAGAGTTACCCCTTTGGCCCTCCCACCTTCACTACATGATGATTCAGCCACAAGGTGCCATCTTGGGAGCAGAAGTATCTCTCACCAGACACCGAGATTGCCAGTGCCTTGACCCTGGATTTCTCAGTGTCCATAACTGTGAGAAAATAAATTTGTGTTGTTAATTAATTACCCAGTGTAATTTTTTTTCAGTACAAGTGCCTTGAGACAATTGCTGTAGGACTTTCATTGTAAATTGAGTGACTATATATATCCAGAATTGGTTTCAGATTCACTAACTCATTGAACGGGTTTACTTGTCTCATCCTTCACTAGAACAACTAATTAATTACCCCGTCTAATATTTTTTTCAGTACAAGCACTTTGAGA